ATCATCATTGGGGTTGCATCCTTTGTTTTGAAAATTCCATTTTCTTTGCACTTGGATCGGGGACGTTTTGACCTTAAAGTGAGATCCTCAACATTATTACTCCAGGTCCCTTACATAATTTTTCTGCCCACTGTAGGCCAAATTTGTAGTATACACGTTCTAGTTATATCTCCTCCATTTTCCATAACGGGTACTTTGGGAATTGCCTCGCTGATCAATTTTTGGTTGCCCTTGGAAAACTTGGTTTAACTTCTTGGGGGTTAACCGTTCCCCCAATAATGACAGCCTCATGCAGATCCTATATCGCTGCAAAGGTATACGGTACGTGGGTTACACTCTTCTATTCGATAGGGAAAGGCAAGATGGGGCGAGTACGTCTTGGAACAGAGCTCTTCCCAGGCAGCCTCCGATTAACTCTGTTTACACACTCTTTGTTCGATTGGGTAGGAAGTTAAGACCTCTCCTCACCTGCCCAAATTTTTCCTTTAGCACGATTTTGTGCCTATTACCCCTGATCGCAACTGTCAAATGCTTTTTCAAAGTCTGTGTATATTACATCTGCATTCTGTTTTCTTCCAGTGCATCCAAGGCCATATCATAGTGATCCAGTAGTTTGTGAGAGGCAGGGCGACCTGCCCTGAACCCATGTTGCCCTGGATTGCGCAGTTTTTGGGAATCCAGGTGGTTTGTAATCATGCTTCTTAGCACTCTTTCAAAGATTTTTATGATGTGGGATGTTAGAGCTATTGGTCTATAGTTCTTAGCTAATGCTTTGCTGCCACTTTTATGGAGTGGGGCTATACCCATTGTTTTAAGTGACTGGAATTTCACCCATGTCTAAGCTCCTTCTCCATAGTATACTTAGGGCACATGAGAGGGATTTCTTGCAGTTCTTAATGAACACAGTTCCACGAGTCTGGGCCTGGGGCTGAGTGCATGGGCTTTTTCAAAGTCTATCAGAGTTAGGATAATGCTGGAAATCTGGAGTTTTGAGGCTCATTCATGAAGAAATCATTTGGGTTGTCAATCCTCAGACTGATTAGCGGCTCACTAAACACAGAGTCGTACTGGGATTTCAGTATTTCACTCATTTCCTTGTCATCTGTGTAAGGGCCCAATACTAGATGTGGTATTTGCCTTGTTTTTGGCATATGACAAGAAATATTTTGAATTTCTTTCAATTTCACTAATAGCTTTAAGCTCCTCCTGTCTCTCCTGGTTCCTGCAAGAGTCCTTTAACTTAAGTTCGATAGTTTCCACTTCCCTGGTCAGTGCCTCCTTCCGTTTATCAGATATTCTAGCGTTCCTGAGGAGCTCAGCGATTCCTCGTCGTCTTCTGTAGAGGGAGCGTCTTTCTCTCTCCAGTTTACTCCTGCTCATCTTCTTTCTTAGCGGAATATGCCTAGAACAGGCTTCAGCTGCCAGGAAGTTGATCCTTTCAAGGCATTGGTTTGGATCCATGTTATTTAAGATATCTTCCCAACATGTTCAACATGTTTCATTTAAGACATGGTTTACCTGGTCCCAGTTGATGTTCTTGTTGAAGTTGTATTTTGTGAAGACACCTTAACAGGTACATGCATTTTGCTGATCAGGACCCCTGTGCATGCAAGTCTAGACTTCGATTAGATTGTGATTGGAATTAGTTGCTTTTGATATTGTTATGTCTCTTACCAGGACCTCATTATTTGTTAAGATAAGGTCAAGTGTGTTTTTTAGTCTTGTTTGCTCCACTATCTGCTGGCTTGAGGTGTGTTTATCACAGAGACTTAGTAGCTCGTGTGTGTGACCTTTCATCTGCGCTACCTCCAGGGACTGTTTCTGCTATAACATTGTTTGCTACATTCTTCCATTCTGTATGCCTTAGGTTGAAATCACCAAGTAGTAAGATGTTTGGGGATGGAGCTGGAAGGCTTTCCAGACAGTAATCAATTTTCAGTAGCTGTTCCTTGAGCTGTGGGGAGGTTGCATCTGGTGGCTTATATACAACCACGATGACTAGGTTTTGGTTCTCGATCTTTACTGATAGAACTTCAACTACATCATTTGTGGTGTTCAGCAACTCCATGCAGATGAGCAACTCTTTGACATACAGGCCAACCCCCCCTTGTTTCCTGTTCTTTCTGTCGCACCTAAAAAGGTTGTACCCACTTATCCATATTTCACTGTCAAAGTGATCTTCTGTGTGGGTCCCTGTGAAGGCTGCAAACATTGCATTAGAGTCTTCTAGAAGTCCACTGATAAAAGGTATTTTGTTGTTGGTGGATGGCTTAAGGCCCTGTATATTAGCAAATATAAACGAGTGTTGTATTCTGTTTTTTGGGGAAATTTTGTTATTGGAATCAGTAGCAGTTGTAGTTCTGGAGGCCATGGGTGGCCACGGGCTGCACCTCCATCCAACAAGGCACCAAGGTGGACTATTTTTTGTTATTTCCTTCCATTTTCTTTTTCTGTTTTCTGCCATTAAAAAATCACCTGAAGTTGGGTTGTCGTAGCTACTATTGTTTGTCTTGTGGGGTCTGTGCCTCCTGGTCCCTTTTAGATGGTATGCAGGGCAGCTGATGTTGTAATACTGCTTTTGGAGGACCGAGGGGCAACACATTTTTGGGTGAAAGTAAGTACAGGAAGAAGAACGACACACTCCTTTAGAGAGGAGGTCACTACATTTTTTGGGATGCTCAAAGTTGCATGTCCCATTTTTTTTCCTGATATTCCATGCTTGCAGATGCCCCATAGTATTTGCACAATTTCACTTTCGGTTGGATAGAATTGTTGGGAGGTGTGTTGCCAATTTCTGCAGGTTCTGGGATTGCACTATAATCCTCAGTATCCAAGCCAGGGCCACCCCATCCTGGATTCCATCTATTTTCCTCAGTAGAAGGAGGAGGAGGAGACTCCTCCCCTACATCTGTAATGTGAGCTATGGTCTTGTGCAATGATGGTTGTGTATTTAAGGTTTTAGTGGTGACTGTGGTAGGGTCCCCAGTAGTCTGGACTGGCAATAAGGCTGGGGGCTGAGACCGAGACAGCACCACTGCTGTGGGCATTAGTGCTATGACTGGGGGATGGGTCTGGGTTAGCACTATGTGGGGGGGGTTGGGTTAACTGATGTTTTTGTTTCCTGTGCTTTTTCAGTGGGTGCCTAGATAGTTTCAAGTCATCTGTTGTGGTATGGGCATTCTGCACTTTTTGGTTCACTCCTATCTCTTTCTCCCATGTTTTATATATTTTTGGTAGGCTGTCCAAGAGGTCATCTTTGTTTTTAGCTTAAACCATTTCCATTATGTTAATCACTATCCTTGTGTTGTTCCGCTGACAAATTAGGTTCACTAGGACTTTCTATCACATCTCGGTATCTTAGTCTATTCGTTATATGGGTAACTCAAACCTTTGTGTATCACTTGTCACATGTCAACACCAGGGCAAGATTTACCCACACTGCCACACTTCACTATTGTTTTTTTTTTTTTTATTTCCTTTGATGTTATGCTGTACATGGTTATCTCAAGGATATACACTATATTCATTCAAGATACACTTTTCTTTTCACTGCACTATACTGGGATCGTTGTTTTATTATTCACACAGCAGCTAGGCCTATGGTAACTTTCCCCTACACTTCCATGTTCAATAGTGCCAGTCGCTTGTAAGATATTCCCATATGCTACACCATACATTTTACACTATACAGGGGGATAATTAAGATTACTCTTATCTACAATTTAGTTCACTATGTCACTGCACATATATATATCCTTGTCACTCACTATATTACTTATAGATAGTTCAATATCTGTTTATTTCCACTTCTGTCGACATCTGGCAATAAATCGCTAGAGCTGGTCAGGTCTATTTCCACAGTAACTGTTACTCCACCGGCACTCTCCATATGACACTGTAATCCATATTTTCCTCTTTAGTGTTCAATGATATTCCATTTTTGTTGGTTCAAAGGAGTATATGCACTATATGGCTGCACACGCTCATTTCCCACACTGTTCCCTCTGCAGCACAAGTGAAGATAGTGACCAAGAAGGCAGCACCAGCATAGAATCCACACCTGATACATCATAATAAAAAAAGTAGCGAGATATGCAATGAGCTGCCTTTTCCATAGGTAAGAGATACAAGCTACAAGAAGAGGCTAACAGAACTGAATCTAACAATACTGGAGGGCAGAAGAAAGAAGATATAACATAGAAAATACTCTGAGAAATGACAGGGAAGGCTACTAGAGAGGGAAGAAACAAGCACTTGGGGACAGAGCTGGAAGCTAATAACATAGACGAGTCACAAGGATGTCAGGAACTATTTCTTCAGTCTCAGAATTATTGGGAAGTAGAATCATCTCAATGAAGTGGAAGAGTCAGGATTTATACATAGCTTTAAGAGCAGGTAAAAGAGGGCCCTTGATACTACAAAGGTGTGAATCAAGCAAGCTGAAGGGCAGGACCAAGAGCTAGGACTCAACCCCTTCAAGCATATATGAGTACAAAGTGTTCTTACATGTGATATTCTTCATCCATATATGAACTTGGAAGAATGAAAAAAAATGTTGTGATGTATATTTCCCAACAATCAATTCAATTGCATGATAGTTGCCACCAAATCTTTCCAACATGTACACCATCTTTCCTAACATTCTTCCTGTGATGGACGTCTTCTCCCTCTGAAGTTTGTTGTCTACCAGACGGTAAGCAAAGGAATACAGCCTCCCCAATCCCTGTGGAAAAAAAATGACTATAAAATATCATATGTAAAAATAGGTAAAATAGTAGGGTGGTAGACAGCAACCACCCAGGGAAGTACTACCGTCCTCCCAGATGACTGTGAAACATAAACCTGTAACTGTTTTGCATGATGGTAGGATTGCTGGTTTCTTTTTCTCTCAAACACGCTAGATAACAGGGATATATTGCTACTCCTACTTACACTTCGGTCACATTTCACAGACACGCACATGCATATATATATACATACATCTAGGTTTTTCTCCTTTTTCTAAATAGCTCTTGTTCTTCTTTATTTCTTCTATTGTCCATGGGGAAGTGGAAAAGAATCTTTCCTCCCAAGCCATGCGTGCCGTATGAGGCGACTAAAATGCCGGGAGCAATGGGCTAGTAACCCCTTCTCCTGTAGACATTTACTAAAAAAGAGAAGAAAAACTTTAGAAAACTGGGATGCTTGAATGTGCGTGGATGTAGTCCGGATGACAAGAAACAGATGATTGCTGATGTTATGAATGATAAGATGTTGGATGTCCTGGTCATAAGCGAAACAAAGATGAAGGGGGTAGGGGAGTTTCGGTGGGGGGAAATGAATGGGATTAAATCTGGAGTATCTGAGAGAGTTAGAGCAAAGGAAGGGGTAGCAGTAATGTTGAAGGATCAGTTATGGAAGGAGAAAAGAGAATATGAATGCGTAAATTCAAGAATTATGTGGATTAAAGCAAAGGTTGGATGCGAAAAGTGGGTCATAATAAGTGTGTATGCACCTGGAGAAGAGGAATGTAGAGGAGAGAGAGAGATTTTGGGAGATGTTAAGTGAATGTATAGGAACCTTTGAACCAAGTGAGTGTGTGTTTGTGGTAGGGGACCTGAATGCTAAAGTAGGAGAAACTTTTAGAGAGGGTGTGGTAGGTAAGTTTGGGGTGCCAGGTGTAAATGATAATGGGAGCCCTTTGATTGAACTTTGTATAGAAAGGGGTTTAGTTATAGGTAATACATATTGCAAGAAAAAGAGGATAAATAAGTATACAAGATATGATGAAGGGTGAAATGACAGTAGTTTGTTGGATTATGTATTGGTAGATAAAAGACTGTTGAGTAGACTTCAGGATGTACATGTTTATAGAGGGGCCACAGATATATCAGATCACTTTCTAGTTGTAGCTACACTGAGAGTAAAAGGTAGATGGGATACAAGGAGAATAGAAGTATCAGGGAAGAGAGAGGTGAAGGTTTATACACTAAAAGAGGAGGCAGTTAGAGTAAGATATAAACAGCTATTGGAGGATAGATGGGCTAATGAGAGCATAGGCAATGGGGTCGAAGAGGTATGGGGTAGGTTTAAAAATGCAGTGTTAGTGTTTTCAGTAGAAGTTTGTAGTTACAGGAAAGTGGGTGTGGGAGGGAAGAAGAGCGATTGGTGGAATGATGATGTAAAGAGAGTAGTAAGGGAGAAAAAGTTAGCATATGAGAAGTTTTAACAAAGTAGAAGTGATGCTAGGAGAGAAGAGTATATGGAGAAAAAGAGAGAGGTTAAGAGAATGGTGAAGCAATGTAAAAAGAGATAAATGAGAGAGTGGGCGAGATGTTATCAACAAATTTTGTTGAAAATAAGAAAGTTTTGGAGTGAGATTAACCAGTTAAGGAAGCCTAGAGAACAAATGGATTTGTCAGTTAAAAATAGGAGAGGAGAGTTATTAAATGGAGAGTTAGAGGTATTGGGAAGATGGAGGGAATATTTTGAGGAATTGTTAAATGTTGATGAAGATAGGGAAGCTGTGATTTCGTGTATAGGGCAAAGAGGAATAACATCTTGTAGGAGTGAGGAAGAGCCAGTTGTGAGTGTGGGGGAAGTTCGTGAGGCAGTAGGTAAAATGAAAGGGGATAAGGCAGCCGGGATTGATTTGATAAACATAGAAATGTTAAAAGCAGGTGGGGATATAGTTTTGGAGTAGTTGGTGCAATTATTTAATAAATGTATGGAAGAGGGTAAGGTACCTAGGGATTGGCAGAGAGCATGCACAGTCCCTTTGTATAAAGGCAAAGGGGACAAAAGAGAGTGCAAAAATTATAGGGGGATAAGTCTGTTGAGTATACCTGGTAAAGTGTATGGTAGAGTTATTATTGAAAGAATTAAGAGTAAGACGGAGAATAGGATAGCAGATGAACAAGGAGGCTTTAGGAAAGGTAGGGGGTGTGTGGACCAGGTGTTTACAGTGAAACACATAAGTGAACAGTATTTAGATAAGGCTAATGAGGTCTTTGTGGCATTCATGGATTTGGAAAAGGGGTATGACAGGGTGGATAGGTGGGCAATGTGGCAGATGTTGCAGGTTTATGGTGTAGAAGGTAGGTTACTGAAAGCAGTGAAGAGTTTTTACGAGGATAGTGAGGCTCAAGTTAGAGTATGTAGGAAAGAGGGAAATTATTTCCCAGTAAAAGTAGGCCTTAGACAAGGATGTGTGATGTCACCGTGGTTGTTTAATATATTTATAGATGGGGTTGTAAGAGAAGTAAATGCGAGGGTCTTGGCAAGAGGTGTGGAGTTAAAAGATAAAGAATCACACATAAAGTGGGAGTTGTCACAGTTGCTCTTTGCTGATGACACTGTGCTCTTAGGAGATTCTGAAAAGAAGTTGCAGAGATTGGTGGGATGAATTTGGTAGGGTGTGCAAAAGAAGAAAATTAAAAGTGAATACAGGAAAGAGTAAGGTTATGAGGATAACAAAAAGATTAGGTGATGAAAGATTGGATATCAGATTGGAGGGAGAGAGTATGGAGGAGGTGAGTGTATTCAGATATCTGGGAGTGGACGTGTCAGCGGATGGGTCTATGAAAGATGAGGTGAATCATAGAATTGATGAGGGGAAAAGGGTGAGTGGTGCACTTAGGAGTTTGTGGAGACAAAGAACTTTGTACTTGGAGGCAAGGAGGGGAATGTATGAGAGTATAGTTTTACCAACGCTCTTATATGGGTATGAAGCATGGGTGATGAATGTTGCAGCGAGGAGAAGGCTGGAGGCAGTGGAGATGTTATGTCTGAGGGCAATGTGTGGTGTGAATATAATGCAGAGAATTCGTAGTTTGGAAGTTAGGAGGAGGTGTGGTATTACCAAAACTGTTGTCCAGAGGGCTGAGGAAGGGTTGTTGAGGTGGTTCGGACATGTAGAGAGAATGGAGCGAAACAGAATGACTTCAAGAGTGTATCAGTCTGAAGCGGAAGGAAGGCGGGGTACGGGTTGGCCTAGGAAAGGTTGGAGGGGGTAAAGGAGGTTTTGTGTGTGAGGGGCTTGGACTTCCAGCAGGCATGCGTGAGCGTGTTTAATAGGAGTGAATGGAGACAAATGGTTTTTAATACTTGACGTGCTGTTGGAGTGTGAGCCAAGTAGCATTTATGAAGGGGTTCAGGGAAACCGGCAGGCTGGACTTGAGTCCTAGAGATGGGAAGTACAGTGCCTGCACTCTGAAGGAGGGGTGTTAATGTTGCAGTTTAAAAACTGTAGTGTAAAGCACCCTTCTGGCAAGACAGTGATGGAGTGAATGATGGTGAAAGTTTTTCTTTTTCGGGCCACCCTGCCTTGGTGGGAATCGGCCAGTGTGACAATAAAAAAATAATAAAATTCTCCATATTTAGTGGCAGAGTAATGTGTGTGTGTACTAGCAAAAGGAGAGTCTAGCCTCCACCAGTCATGACACTCAATTACCCATATAATTCCAGCATTCATATAAACATGGTTATCAAGGGACAGACACTTCATATAAAGGTCCCAAGCAAATTATATTAATTTTCACAGAATAAAAACAATTTGTGCTTAAAAAATATTAATACAGTGGACCCTCGCATATCATTGGCATTACATAACGTTAAATCCGCATACCGATACATTTTATCACTAAAATTTTGCCTCGCATACCGCTAAAAAACTCGCTCAACGCTATTCGTCCGAGACGCTTCTAATGTGCGGCCTGAGCCAGATTCACATGTTCCGCCGGTGGCATTGTTTACAAGCCAGCCTCCGCGGTAAAATCCAAGCATACAATCGGAACATTTCGTATTATTACAGCGTTTTTGGTGATTTCATCTGCAAAATAAGTGACCATGGGCCCCAAGAAAGCCTCTAGTGCTAATCCAGTGGTAAAAAGGATGAGAAATACTATCATACCGCAGTCAGCTGCTGCTGCACCACGGTCAGCTGTTGCTTGAACAGTCAGCTGTTGCTGGATCAGTCAGCTGCTGTTGCACCTCGATCAGCTGTTGCTGGACCAGTCAGCTGTTGCTGGATCAATCAGCTGTTGTTGGACCAGTCAGCTGTTCCTGAATCAGTCAGCTGCTGCTGCACCACGATCAGCTGTTGCTGGACCAATCAGCTGTTGCTGGATCAGTCAGCTGCTGCTGCACCACGATCAGCTGTTGCTGGACTAGTCAGCTGTTGCTGGATCAGCTGCTGCTGCTGCACCACGATCAGCTGTTGCTGGATCAGTCAGCTGCTGCTGCACCATGATCAGCTGTTGCTGGACCAGTCAGCTGTTGCTGGATCAGTCAGCTGCTACTGCACCACGATCAGCTGTAGCTGGACCAGTCAGCTGCTGCTGCACCACAATCAGCTATTGCTGGACCAGTCAGGTGTTGCCGGATCAGTCAGCTGCTGCTGCACCACGTTCAGCTGTAGCTGGACCAGTCAGCTGTTGCTGGACCAGTCAGCTGTTGCTGGACCAGTCAGCTGTTGCTGGACCAGTCAGCTGTTGCTGGATCAGTCAGCTGTTGCTGGATCAGTCAGCTGTTGCTGGATCAGTCAGCTGTTGCTGGATCAGTCAGCTGTTGCTGGATCAGTCAGCTGCTGCTGCACCATCAGCTGTTTCTGAACATGACTCGTCCCGAACCTGTCCGTCCAGCCTGAGCGCCTGCCTTGCCGTAATTATTTACAAGCCAGGGTGGCCGGTTGCATGCATACATTCGATACATTTTGTATTATTCCATTATTTATAGTGCTTGTAA